AAAGAGAGAGAGAAGAGAGGGGATATGGAAAAACTATGACCCACTTTCTTTGAATTCATATTATTTCTCTCTCTACTCACCGCCTGTCTGGTAGCTTGAAAAAAATAGTTTATATTTCTCCGTTCAGAACGGAGAGATGCACTCCGTTCTGAATGAAGAGAATCTTGGAAGAAAGATGACTATCTCAAAATAGTTGTCTATAAGGTCCGTACTTAACGGACCTAAAATGGTCAGTGCTTAACGGACCCAGAGGTCCGTCCAGCACGGACCTCTTGGTCCATTTCAGGTAAGTGCAGAGAACATCTTTTGTTTTCTTTGCAATCAGTTCCTCCCTGAACCTCACCTAGTGTAATGCAGTAACATCTATTTTTTCTAATAAATAAATAGAGAAATATGCACATGGAATCCAAGACTGAGAAACTACCTTATAATGACCTTTCTGCTAGCATCAAAATGCAAATGAGAAGATTTCTTTCTTGAACAACAATTGAAAATTTGAAACCAGAAAATACAGAAAAAAGATGGAGTAAATAACGAGGTATGGAAGGTAGAGTGTATAAATAGAGAAGAAAAAGACGCTTTGCTTGGAGTAGATAATGAGGTATGGGAGATAGCGTGTACAAATGGAGAAGAGAAAGATGCTTTGCTCGGCTAACTCGGCTCACTCAACTCGCTCGGCTTAGGTGGCCAATCGGCTTATGAATAGTAAAAATGGAACTCACTCTTTTATATAATAGTAATAGTGAAACTTGTAACAGTTTGGATGTTATATTGATGAGTAATACGAATACAATTGATGTTAAAACATTAGTTTATACGGTATTTGCGTGACATTAAATGAGAGATACAATTAGATGGATTATTTAATTTTAGTTATCATCGAGCATATTGCATCGCGTAATCTAGATGTGTATTGTAATACTAATGGTACTAAATCACGTTATTCTATATCGATTGGACACTTTTTAGCTAGTACGGTGGTATTCTTGACTTGAAATAGTGAGATCATAGAGAAAAGACCAAAAGCACCTCTCCTTTGGATCCAATTTTTTTGGCACCATAAAGTATGCAATTAAGCTACTTTAATGTCACAAAAAGTAAGTCAAAATTAGTTTTAAATTACTTATTTTAGTTACAAGGTGGTCTATAAAAGTTACTCTTGTGCTAATAAACTCACTATGTAAGTTGAATGATACTGATGGCTCCTAAAACTAGCCGAGAAATAAAACCATTAACTAAGAGGGAAGAACACATAAAGAGATGACCCGTCACCTCTTTCACATGGTCTTAGCTAGCTAGTTCACCAGCATTTATAATTGCATTTCTATTTAAATTCCAAAAAAGAGAAATTATAATAGATGAAAAAGGGATTTAAGATATCTCTCACTAAATTTTATGACGAATTTGCACTTGTTAGCAAATGTATACGTATTGTTTAAAATGTGATGTCATTTGAAAAAAAAATATTGAGATTGTACAATCATTTCTATTATATAATGTCTTTTCAAGTTGAGATACGTTGTCCTCATAATTTTACCTCCACTAAATTTTGAATCATAAGATTGAATGGTGCTCTCCAATAAATGAAAAAAAAAAAAAGAATGGGACTATAATGCAATTGTAACAGGAATTCTTGAACTACTAATTATTTAATTACACGCTACAAATTGGTAAATGTATGTAGGGGTGGGCAAAACCTAAATCAACCCGCCCAAACTGACCGGTTTGGGTCGGTTTTTTTTTTTTTTTTGGGATAATTACCAAAACCAGCTGTTTAGTTTCAAATTTATGAAAATCAGGTTTTAGCTTTATTTCCTATCCTATCCTATCCTACACTATAAAAAGAGCAAGTTTTCCTTACACTATTCATAAGCCTAATGGCCATCACCAGCCGAGCCGATTCGAGTGAGCCGATTTGGCCGAGCCATTTCCACTTTCTCCCTTCTTACACGCAAACTCCCGTACTCATCTCCTATTGTCTTCATTTCTCTCTCTCTCACAGACTCACTTTCCCTTTTCCTTTTCTTCCCTGTGCAGTCGACCAAAACCCTAGGCTTCCTTCTTCGCCCTTTTTTTTTTGCTTCGGTGATTTGGTGAAGGAGAAGAACCTCCACGGCGGCTGGGATGACCAGCGCCAGGAAGGCATACACCTCCTCGACAACCAGCTCCGCCACGAGTTCCTCTCCCGCCACCAGGACCTCGTCAACCACCACGGAGACACGAGACACCATGTCTCCGTTTCAATTAGCGATTATGGGGAACAACAAGCAGAAGCAGCAGAGGCGATTCAAGAACAATAATAAGTCGCATCGCCCATCAACAATCTCATCTCCTTCATAGGCAGGCACTCTTTAGTCGACTTCACATCTTTGTACATATATATTTTTTTTTTAATGTGCAGCTCTTTATACACAGTTCTTC